CTCGTGATCCACCCACGTTGGCCTCCCAAAGTGCTGGGATTATAGACGTGAGCCACCGCACCCGGCCAACAATCTTAACTTTAGCCAAGACCCTATTTCCAAAGAAGGTCACATTTATGGATACCACGGGTGAGGACTTCAACACTTCTTCTTTCTCAGTCAGGAGAGGTGCAGCTCAACTTGCAACGAGTGGTCTGTGTGGGACCCGAGGCCAAGTGCTCATTGCTGTAAAGTGGAGCCGTTGGTTCCAAGGATGCTAAATGCAATCCTGGGTCAGAAGAGGGAAACTTACAGAGGTCCTTGCACAGTGATCTGCCTGAGATCCTGCAGGCAGGAGAGGCAGATCCATCCCTGCTGATGAATAGCTACCCTTCAAGGTGGCTGGTGATCTCCTTAGGGGATGTGCCAATTTGGGGGTTCAGTATTGGTCTCCATGACTGGCAGGTTGGATGTTAGGCAGCGGTAACTAGACCAGGCTTGCTGAGAGACCACGCTGCTTCAGCCATGCACAGCTTCCCTCCCTGCTGCCATGGTTACTCCACTCAACTATTGTGCTGAACTGGGGTGGACAAGTGACAGGTTGTCATCGCTGGGCTGAGCCATCCTGTTGCCAGTATTCTAATCTGCAGTGGATGCTCTCTGGAGGATGTGAAAAGTGATGAAAAGATATTCAGGCTTTGTCCTTATTCCCTTTGGTTCATCTACATGCCTCTTTCACAGACCTCCTTCCTTCCCATCATTCACCGTCTGAACCTTTAGCCACTGCTCATGGGTCTGTATCCAGTCTTGCTTCAGGCCAAAACTTTTTTCACACAAAATGGAAGATCAGGTGTGGTACCTGGAGTTCTGTTCCTTGGAACGATGTCCCCTGACTGCTGTCTCCAAGGCCACCCAGAGTAGAGCCATGAGATAGCAGCAGTCTTCTTTCTGACTTGCACCAACGCAGCAGGCTGACCCATCTTTGAATCCCCCTTGGCCCTGCTGGTATCCCATTAGCTGGCCATGCAGCCAGGGCTTTGAGCTGAGGGGTAGGTGCTTGCACAGTGATGACAGATGGCAGGGTGGTCTGGGCCACCTCTGGTGGAGCTGGCTTGCGCCCTCCATGCAGCTCTGCTCTGCACCACTTCGTTTTATGCTGTTTTGCTGCTGAGCCCACCCAGTCTTGTGTGTGGCCCTGCACAATTCCACATCACGATGGTTATAGTTTGCTCCAGCATCACTTAACGTCTCATGCTCAGATGCTCTATTTATGCTGGAGTCCTGGCTCACACAAGCTGCTTTCCCAACAGTGCGATGCTTCCTGCTGTACATGAGGTGACTTTGCTCCGGAACCCTCAGGGTCTATATTGTGACTTTTACTGGTGCTTGTCATCAAATCGTCATGATGTTTTTCCTATTACAGGTACTCCCAGTAACGTAAAGTTTGCAAGTCGTAAAGCCCCAGCAGTAGGCTGCTTTCACTGCAGCCAGGACTTCTCCTAGAGCTGTTTCCTGCTCTTAGCCCCATCCAAACCTGGCAGCCTTTCCACGTCACCAGGATGTGAGTCAGAGCAGCTGCCTCTGGCAATCAAAGGGCTGACCAAGCCTGAGTTTCCTTTCCAGCAGGGGAGGTACCAGGTGCAACATGTATATTTTTATAATGAAAGGAATGCCCTGTCATGCTCCAGGGCACTGAAGCCCTGACATCTTCCATGATGCCGTGGTCATCTGATTCTTCAAAGACAAAATTATTTCTCACAGTTTGGAGCACATGTATTTTACAGAGGTCTCTAGTAAACTTGAGACTTCTTTTCTTGCTTGTCCTGTCTCATGAACATCCCACATCAACGCGGTGGACTAGTGTGATGTTCTGGTGACAGTGATTTTCAGGATCCCTGCATATTCTTTAAAATCGAGTACCCCAAAGAGCTTTTGTTTACATGGGTTATAGATCTATTAATATATGCTGGAAAACAAACAGGAGACATTTTCAACATATTTGTGTATTTATTAAAAATAAAACAAACCCATTACATGTTTAAATAAATGACACCTCATTATGAAAAATAACTATTTTCCAAAAAATACTTGTGAATGGCATTGTTTAACATTTTTGCAAATCTCTTCAAGACAGCTAGAACGTCATATGTTTCTCTGTTCTATCTGTTATGTTATTTTGGTTTAAGATAGTGAAGAACATCCACTTCCATATAGATAAATAGCTGAAAAGAGAGTATTTTAATACTCTTCAGATGATTATGGATATTTTTTCTGTGAAGTTATTGGCAGCACCTTAAAGGTTTATTGTGATGTGGAATCTGAAATCGTATCATGCATGGTTTATACCCTGTTAGATTAAAAATCATTAGTCTTGGCTGTGCACAGAGGCTTAGGCCTGTATTCCCAACACATTGGGAGGCAGAGGGGGGTGGATCACTTGAGATCAGGAGTTCGAGATCAGCCTTGCCAACATGGTGTAAGCTCATGTCTACTAAAAAAACAAAAAAAAAAACAAAAAAAAAATACCCAGGAATTGCTTGAACCCAGAAGGTAGACGTTGCAGTGAGCTGAGATTGTGCCAATGCACTCCAGCCTGGATGACAGAGAGAGACTCTGTCTCAAAAAACAAAAGCAAAAAACTCTTACTTGAATGAAATAGATTAATAGCTTCCAATTATAGAAAATCTAAAATAAGTATTTTTCTACATGCGAATGACCTGACTTGATTATGATTACAAAGTGTAAGCAACTTCAATAGACAACCCAGTCTTCACTCTAAATGATTGTTAGACAGCTGCAAATGACATGTTGTAAAGGAAAGCTTTTAGTGGACGTCCCATAATTTGTTGATATGTCTGTAATTTCCTCTGCCCCCAGTAAAGCATCTTGTTCAGTTATGTGGTTGTATCTTTTGCCAGTATCTTTTGTCAAATGGTATATTAGCTTTCTAGGGCTGCCATAACAAAATGCCACAGACTGAGTGGCTTACACTAGAAATTTGTTTGTTCATAGTTCCGGCAGCTGGAAATCCAAAATCAAAATGTAGGCTGGGCTGGTATCTTCTAACATCTCTCTCCTTGGCTTGCAGATGGCCAGCTTCAAACTTCATTCTCACGTGGTCTATCCTATGCACACACATCCCTAATGTCTATTTGCATGTCTACATTTCCTCTTTTCATAACGATATCAGTCAGATCGAATGAGGTCCTATCTACGGCCTCATTTTAACTCAATCATCCCTTTAAAGACCTTTTTTCCAAATATAGTCACACTATGAGGTTCTAGGGGTTAGGACCTCCATTTATAAATCTGGCATGTGTAAGGGAGGAAGAAGAGAAACAATTTAACCCAACAGGTGACAACCCAGGAAATTATATTTCCCAATGCTGCCATTTCAGAGGTACTGTATGGCAGATGGGAGTTTTATACCTTTCAGATTTTTTTTTCTTTTCAGTATTTTTCAAGATAAAATTGGGGCTATGCTTTAAGATAAAACTGAAATACTATGATTTTTCATTTGTGTATTTTTGAGGTAAACCAGACTTTCTGAACAGGGGTTATCCCCTCTGGAAATGCTCCATTGGCTCTCTCCTTTGTGGGAATATTCTATTCAGTCCCTTACTTTATGGCACTCTAATTTTAACAAATTATCCTCAGTTATCCTTGGCTTTGTCTCTATTAGACTGTTTTGTTGATCACTTGACTATCAGTACAGGCAGCTGTGGCCCAGGGAATCAGTAGGGAATATAATTGCAAGCCCACAATGACTTTCAAGATTTATATGAAGAGGTCCATCGCAGCCTGCCTGTGGGGAACACAGCTCATCCATTCCTCCAGGTTTAGATGCAAAACTTTTTTCAAAGAATACGATCATAGTTTACATCTCATTCCAATTAGTTCCATGACCTCAAGAAGGTGATGTGCCCTAAACAAGCACAAGCTTGCTCCTTGACTGGGGCCATGCACAGTTGCTGCACGCAGGCAGTCACGATCAGCTCTTTTTAAGTGGTGTCTGAAACAGCCCTGTGAATAATCCTGTTTTTAATTATTTTATCCTCTCCTCTGGGTTCCAGTGGAGGAGTTTCTCTTTTCTCAGTGCATTCTCCTGTAGCTTGTTTTACTCTGCAAGAAACAAAATCTTATACCAAGACACGTTGCTAACCTTTAAATAGCTAAAATGTTTCTGATCCAATTTACTTGTAAATGTACTCATTTTACTTTAATGACATTTTATATACTTAAAAACAAAGCTTATTACCACCTTACTTTCGTTAATGTCATTTCTGTTGCCATTTAAAAAATTTCTTTTTATTTATTTATTTTTATTATACTTCAAGTTCTGGAGTACATGTGAAGAATGTGCAGGTTTGTTACATAGGAATCCACATACCATGGTGGTTTGCTGTAAAATTTTAACTTCTTTTATATTGCTATATCATGTGCTTCTTTATAAGGTGCTTTAAATCTTAACTTCTGGTTAGAAGCTTTTGATATTTTCTCAATGTATATGGATGTGTTTGTGGGATTTGTGTGAGGGGAGAGTTACATTCCCTCTTTTGTGTGAGATGGAGCTCTCGTAATAACTTGTATACTAATTTTTCCTTCTCAAGAAGCAAATTTAGTAGGAACCACGGGGACTACACAGCTGCCTTATGACTCTGAGGAGGTAAAGCATTCTTCAGTCATTCCTTGGAGCCAGGTGAAGCATTCTACCTCCAACACCTCAGCCATCTCTAGGAACAGCAGCACCTGCTATCTCAGAGCCTCTTCTCCTTTAAGGAAAACAACTCTTAAGGGAAGCAACTGAGAGCTGGGTAAGAAGAAGGCAATCATGTGCTGAAATCTTGCAGAGAACAAAAGTTAGTGAAATGATCTTAGACCCCTAAACTCGGAGCTCTTATAGGAACAGCAGATACTTATGGAAAGCTGAGAAAGCAGTGTTCAAAGTCTCCAGACCACCCCTAGAGGGATGCGTGTGGGTGGCTAGGGGAACGTTTCGAGGAAAGTTCATTGGTCAACTTGTTCCACGTGGGAACCCATTTCAGGCAAGAGCGACAGCACCGTGGACAGCGCCAACCCTCCGGCATCCGGGCAGGGTGAGGCGGCAGCTCCGCGGACAGCACCGCGGACAGCACCGCACGAGGGGGCGCGCGCTGAGAACCGCCCGGCGAGTGGAGCGCAGGAGCTCAGCAGCACCGCGGACAGCCCCAAAGCCGCAGGCGCTCCGAGCCAGGAGGAGGGGAGAGGAGGCCTTATCAGCTGATGGCTTACGTAGGGCTAGATCTCAACTTGGATAAGGCGGGCGCGACAGCATTCGCTCTGCGGAGATGCAGCCTCAGACAGGGTGGCGGGTACAACCGGGACAGAAGGCAGGTCCCAGAAAGCAGGTCTCCCCCCAGACTGGCTTCCCTAGCCTGGAGTTAAAGCTGCAGCCGGCTGCCTAGAGAGAAGGGTGGGCAGGGAGGCAAAGCGGTGAGAACGACTGCTCTGACGCACCAGCTCCTCTCCCGCATCCACACGCTGCGGGCCGCCCTGCTTCTCCCCCATAGGGGAGATGCTCGGTTCTGGGCCGCCAGATAGCCTTTTCCGCCGAGGCAAGGAGCCCGGGGCTCCTGACAGCCTGGGAGGGCCCTGGCTGGAGACGCAGCCCCTCGCCTCTGCTTCCGTAGCCTCTCAGGGCTTCAGACCTGCCGCACTTGCAGCCACGCCGTCTCCCACGGATGCTCACTAACAGGAGATTGGGGCCAAATTCACAGGCACTTTCCAGAAACCCCACCACTGGCCAGAGGTTGCAAACATCCAGGTTGGCTCTGGGCGCAGTGGCCACCTTAAGTCCTCCTGAACACCCTTTCTGCAAGCACCCCAGGCCGGTCTCCTGACCCAGAGATGGATTTACCTGTGAACCTAACCTCCTTTTCCCTCTCCACCCCCTCCCCTTTGGAGACCAACCGCAGCCTCGGCAAAGATGACCTGCGCCCCAGCCCGCCCCTGAATTCAGTCTTCGGAGTGCTTATTCTCACCTTGCTGGGCTTTCTGGTGGCAGCAACGTTCGCCTGGAACCTGCTGGTGCTGGCTACCATCCTCCGTGTGCGCACCTTCCACCGTGTGCCCCACAACCTGGTGGCGTCCATGGCCATCTCGGACGTCCTGGTAGCCGCGCTGGTCATGCCGCTGAGCCTGGTACACGAGCTGTCCGGGCGCCGCTGGCAGCTGGGCCGGCGGCTGTGCCAACTGTGGATCGCGTGCGACGTGCTCTGCTGCACGGCCAGCATCTGGAATGTGACGGCCATCGCCCTGGACCGCTACTGGTCCATCACGCGCCACCTGGAATACACGCTCCGTACCCGCAAGTGCGTCTCCAACGTCATGATTGCGCTTACCTGGGCGCTGTCCGCTGTCATCTCTCTGGCCCCGCTGCTTTTTGGCTGGGGAGAGACTTACTCTGAGGGCAGCGAGGAGTGCCAGGTCAGCCGTGAGCCTTCCTACGCCGTGTTCTCCACCGTGGGCGCCTTCTACCTGCCGCTCTGCGTGGTGCTCTTCGTGTACTGGAAGATCTACAAGGCTGCCAAGTTCCGCGTGGGCTCCAGGAAAACCAATAGTGTCTCACCCGTATCCGAAGCTGTGGAGGTGGGTATTGCAGCAATCCTTACAAATACTCGACTTGCATTTGTACAGGCTATATTTCCAGGCCACCTGCCCCACCCCTCACACTTGTAGAAAGTGGAACTTTTTGGGTTTGGGAGTAGGGGGAGTGGAAGAAGGCATCAGAGATGTACTTTGTTCTGACGTGTTCCCTCTCACAGAGCTAATCACGCTATTTTCCTTCTCTCATGGGTTATTTGTTAAATATGCGGAACATGAGGATTTCCAATGGTATCATTCTACAGGGTCCCCTTAGGCCCCCAAATTCTATGGATCTATAACACCCTTTAGAACATCTGGATAAGCTAGTATCTGGTGTATGCCGATTCAGTACACTGGAAAAATTAACAGCTTCTTGCTCTTAGAATGAGGGTGTTAGGGGATCCAAGGGTGGGAGCAAGATTTGATAAGAAGACTGCCATGTGTCAGGTAATGCGGGTTAGAGTTTCATCCTAGTCTATTACTTTGCTTTGCAAATTGCTGCAACTGATTTATTCAAAATATGGTATCACCAAGGTTACTGTCCTTCTGTGACATCCTCCCATCCTGACGTAAGATTGAAGATGTTGTCTGCATTAATCCCAGAGCCTGCATTTGTTATCTGCTTCCACGGTCTTGGGGTGTTACTTTCTGGGTCTATCCCCCATGGCCATATTAGGTTGTAGGTGTGACTGAGGACCACTTGTCTGCCTTCCTGAAAGTGAGCAAAGCTGCAGAAGGAAATTAAAAATTCAGGAAAGACAATTCCCCAGTTCTCTACAAGAGGCATTTATTGCATGACAATCACTCAACAGCAAGGGAGTGTTTCTTCTTCCCCCACCCCTACTTTTTGTTAACTCTTAATAATCTGACCCTATGACTCACAGTTCTGAAGACCACTCCACCCTTATTACCAAGGATGATTCCTTGAATCTAATTTACACATTTGGGTTAGACCAGAAGTCTACACAGTCCCCATTTTCTGTCGTTGACTCTGGAACAAAAATTCAATCTAATTAAGCATATGGAGTGCATACTATAGGCTTGGTGCAGGTAAGAGGATAATAGAGATGTTGTCTTTGCCCATGAGGACTTTGGTCTAGGGAGGGAGAAGGGCACCCACCCTGGGCTCTGCAAATGCTCTCTCGAGTCAGTAGCTAATTCTAACCATCCCCAGTCAATCAAGCTTAGAGGGACCAGAGGTGTAGCTATGGAAAAAGGGGAGACAGCATCATCCTAGAGGAAAGAAGAAAACAAGGGGTCAGAGGCTACCTGTCCTTTTATCTGTATCAGCACTTCTCAGCGATGGGTGATATTGCCCCTGAGGAAACATTTTGGGCTGTCTGGAGATGGTTGGGATGATCAAGACTTGAGGATGGGGTGCTAATGGCATGTAATATAGAGAGGTCAGGAATGCTGCTAAATATTGTACAATGCGCGGGGCAGCCCCTCAACAGATAATTATTCAGACCAAAATGTCAATCGTACTGAATTTGGGAAACTCTGATCTATTCGATGTCTAAGCAGAACAAAGAGTGCTGTTGGGTAAGAACACTGAAGCTTCCATGTTCCATGCATATGAGCGTCCACTCAAATTCCAAGCCAGGAATAAGAAGACTGGTCACCCCCAAGGGCCCTCCTGTATAAATTCTCCTCTCCTCTGATGTTTATCCAGGCAAATATGATTTACAGTCAACCCCAAACACAGCTTTAGAAAGAGAAAGTTAATTACAATTCTATTCCAAGGCTTGTTGTAAAAGGATGAGGGGCACCCTCATTTCTCTGCTTCAGTGATAGCAGAAGCAAAGCATTGTAACATCTTTGTGTTTTTTATATAGACACACACACACGCATGTGCACACACACATATCTATCTATCTATATCTATATATCTATCTATATCTATATCTATATCTATCTATCTATCTATCTATCTATCTATCTATCTATCCTCTCTTCTCTTCTCTCTCCCTCAACCCCCCTGCCAGATTAGTTTTGAAAATGGGTCCCTTGGCTTGGCAAGGCCTCTAAATAATCCAGTTCTCTAAATACACTGTGGGGCTGCCTCTGTCCTTATGTTATGTTGATGGGTTAATTACAAACCAGGCCACCTGATTGCTCTGTGTAGTGGGAGTGGGCGTCAGAGTTTCTAAATGCAGTTCTACCACCAGCTAGCTGTTACCTAGGGAAAGCACAACACTTGTCTCTCATTTCTTTCTCTGCTGAGTTTTATTTAAATACACACCATGAAACCCTAACCCAGGTCAGACACTGAGCTGGGATCTGGCAACCACAAGACGGATAAGCCTTGTCCTTGTCAAAGGATGAGGAAGCCACTGCTGGAGATCTGAATTAAAATGACAAAGAAAATGCCTTGCTTCCTAGAGTGAGCTGGGGCTGTGCTGTCCAGGCATGATCTCCCTGAGCAGAGCAGAATGTGGGAAAACCTGAAACAGCACTTTTGGGAGCTATGGTCCTTCGGGATTGGTGGATTGTTGAGCTGTGGGTAGATGACATCCTCTGTGTGAGATGCTGTTGTTGATTGGTTGTTCTTCCAATGGGTATTTACCAGAGTGAGTCCATCTTTGGTGGCCTGACTTGCAGAACTGTGGGGCTAACACCAATAATCTACACAGGTGCTATAGATACCCAGGAGGTAGAGACAGTGTGAACTACTTTACCTTCTTTTATTCTAACCCTAATTGCCATCCCATCCTTATTCATTCTCTTTATAATAGACAAAATAAATAATGCACTGACTCTCAAAATTACAGGCCCCCAATGGTACCGAAGCAATGCAGATACAGACTGTGCAGACTTAACTTTTGACTCCTGTATGATCTCTGCAGCAGACCTACACCCAGGAGAGCAACCTATGCAAAAAGACTCTGCATACAGACAGGCAGCAACAAAAGCAAAGCAAGCAGCAGTAGGATAGATAGATGATCAGCATGATGCCATTTGCTAAACAGTACACCTGTGTGACAAGACGTTTGAAGCCTTGTACACAGATCTAAGACAATTACCTAACGGTAGATAGCTCTTAATCAAAGATGTAGTGATAACACAAACACCTTAGCCCTACAACCTTATACAAGGACATACTTGGTGACAAATCTTAAGATAACAACATTTCAAAAATATCTTGATCGAGATGGGTTGCTCTTGATCAATAGAATAAGTTTAAAACTCGTTCTGGGCTAAAGAGCACTCAGTCTTTTCCTACGTGTATGGGAACATTTCCTTCTCCGTCTGCCTTTCTTGGTCCTCATTCAGCCAGAGCTGCAGGAGAGACGGCCATGACGGTCCAGATTTTCACCACTGTGGCTGGTCCTCCTTGATGATGAATTTTCATCTGTGGAGACGTGATGTTCACACTGCATGTTGATCAACATGAGTTTATACTGTTTTTGTTTTGTTTTGTTTTGTTTGAGACGGAGTTTCGCTCTTGTTCCCCAGGCTGGAGTGCAATGGCGCAATCTCAGCTCACAGCAACCTCTGCCTCCTGGGTTCAGGCAATTCTCCTGTCTCAGCCTCCTGAGTAGCTGGGATTACAGGCATGTGCCACCACACCCAGCTAACTTTTTTGTATTTTTAGTTGAGACAGGGTTTCGCCATGTTGAATCACGTGTCAGGACAGTTGTGCAGAAGCATATAAAGATCTGCATTTGGTACGAGAGCATCCAAGTTCTCTCTGGAGCCAGGATACTTTAACTATAGAAATTCAGTCATGTGATTCCCCTTCCTTGTCTCAGGGTTTCAGAGCTGCTGGGTGACCCATGTTACAACAGGAGAAGAAGAAAGTAGCCAGGAACCATCAATCAATGAGCAGAAAAATATTGGATAGTTTACGTTAGCAATTGGGGCTTATTACATGTGGTACATCAGATTTAAAAGGCTAATATGAAATGTTCTGACGATGTGTTGACTAATTGAATTGATGCCTGTAATTTCTCTGAGACAAGGCGGCAAAGCCTCCAGGTTACTGAATTAAGCAGTGACACTGCCTTAAAATAGGCAATGTTCTCTGACAGGTGTCATGCCATCACCTTAATCCACCCCGAGCATGGCCCCGTATTTTCATATTTGCATGAAAAGGAACATTCAGGGTAACCTAGGAAGAACCGCTCTTAACTCTTAAGCATTCTACTTCACTTAAATTTTCTGGTTGTGGAGTCTCTTGTCCATAGAGATTCTAGAACCACGAGTATTTCTTTAGTAATTTTAAAAATTGCATGTAGTGTAGGCATTCCCACACCTAATCAGCCATAATCTCATCATGAACAAGGCTGCAGCACTTTTTATTCGGAAGCAGACCCCACCTATTGTAGGAATGTCATACACTGAAGCAGCATTCTTTCGCTAGTGTTCTGGAAATATCAGTTATAAGTTACATGCAGGATTGCTAAAGATTGTTGCTACTTGAATTGTTCCATTAAATAAGGTTGACTTTCTCTCAAGCCTTTGAAAAATTTACTTTATAGCCAGAAATTTGTCATGTGTTATCTTGTTTCACTATCTGGTATAACGAATAGCTTTTTCTTTCAGCTCCCTGTGTCACCCAGGCTGGAGTGCAGTGGCATGATCTTGCTCATTGCAACCTCTGCCTCCTGGGTTCAAGTAATTCTCCTGCCTCAGCCTCCCGAGTAGCTTGGATTACAAGTGTGCACCACAATGCCTGGCTAATTTTTGCATTTTTAGTATAGATAGGGGTTTCATCATGTTGGCCAGGCTGGTCTCAAACTTCTGACCTCAGGTGTTCCACCCACCTCATCCTCCCAAAGTGCTGGGATTCTAGGTGTGAGCCACTGCACCCAGCCGTCAATAGCTTTATTAAAGAAATTTTTTGTTTTAATTTTTAAAAACTTACTACAAGTTGATTTGCTTTTTCGCTTTTCAGACAACTTAAAAATGTATGTGGCATAACTGTTGTTCTATAGTGGTGAGGTGACCGGTAGTTATAGTGACAGCCACATCAACAAAAACGTTTATATAGTTATATATCT